TGGTTGTTGGTTTTTCCCTACTAGGATGTAAGCTCCTCAAAACACGGATGATGCTTTATTTGTATTTGCACTCCTACCTTTTGTAGTGTTTGACCCAATAAATACTTATCAAGTGAGTGATGGACTGAATAAACAAAAATAGAGAAGACGGGAGGAGGAGGAGCTAGGCTAGGAAAAGCTGAGGAGAGAAAGATAGCTTGTTTTTAAATATATTAAGTTTGAAGTGTTGCTGGTTTGTGTTGTTACTGTTAAGTGCTGTTGAATTGGTTCCAACTCAAAGCAACCCCATGTACAACAGAACAAAACACTGCCCAATCCTGCACCATCCTCATAATCACTGCTATGTTTGGGTCCACAGTTGCAGCCACTGTGTCAGTCTATCTGCTTGAGGGTCTTCCTCTTTTTTGCTGACCCTCTACAAAGCATGATGTCCTTCTTCAGGGACTGGTCCCTCCTGATAACATGTCCAAAGTATGTGAGACAAAGTCTTACCAGCCTCATTCTAAGCAGCATTCTGGCTGTACTTCTTCTGGCTGTACAGATTTGCTTGCTCTTCTGGCAGTCCACGGTATATTCAATATTCTTTGCCAACACTATAATTCAAAGGCATCAATTCTTCTTCGGTCTTCCTTACTCATTGACCAGCTTTCGCGTGCATATAAAGCAATGGAAAACGTCATGGCTTGGGTCAGGCCCACCTTAGTCTTCAAAGTGGAATTTTTGCTTTTTAACACCATAAAGAGGACTTTTGCAGCAGATTTCCCAATGCAATACATCTTTTGATTTCTTGACTGCTGCTTCCATGGGCACTGACTGTGGATCCAAGTAAAATGAAATCCTTGACAACTTCAATATTTTCTCCGTTTATCATGATGTTGCTTTTTAGTCCAGTTGTGAGTTTTTTGTTTTATGTTGAGGTGTAATCCATACCGAAGGCTGTGGTCTTTGATCTTCATCAGTAAGTGCTTCAAGTCCTCTTCACTTTCAGCAAGCAACATTGTGTCATCTGCATATCATAGGTTGTTAATGAGTCATCCTCCAATCCTGATGCCCCGTTCTTCTTCATATAGTCCAGCATCTCAGATTATTTGCTTAGCATACAGACTGAATAAACATGGTGAAAGGATACAACCCTGATGCATACCTTTTCTAATTTTAAATCACTCAGTATCCCCTTGTTCTGTTTGAACAACTGCCTGTTGGTCTATGTACAGGTTCCTCATGAGCACAATTAAGTGTTCTGGAATTCCCGTTCTTCGCAATGTTATCCATAATTTGTTATGGTCCACACAGTCGAATGCCTCTGCATAGCCAATAAAACACGGGTAAACATCTTTCTGGCATTCAGCAAAGATCCATCTGACATCAGCAATGACACCCCTCATTCCACATCTTCTTCTGAATCAGGCTTGAATTTCTGGTAGTTTCCTGTTGATGTACTGCTGCAATTGCTTTTGAATTTTCTTCAGCAAAATTTTACTTGCATGTGATAGTAATGATATTGTTCAATAATTTCTGCATTCTGTAGGATCACCTTTCTTTGGAATTGGTACAAATATGGATCTCTTGCAGTCAGTTGGCCAGGTAGCTGTTTTCTAAATTTCTTGACATAGATAAATGAGCGCTTTCAGCGTTGCATCTGTTTGTTGAAACATCTCAATTGGTATTCGATCAGTTCCTGAAGCCTTGTTTTCTGAAAATGCCTTTGGTGCAGCTTGGATTTCTTCCTTTAGTACCATTGGTTCTTGATCACACATTACCTTCTGAAATGGTTGTACCAATTATTTTTGGTACAGTGACTCTGTGTGTTCCTTCTATCTTCTTTTGATGTTTCCTGCATCGTTCAATATTTTGCCCACAGAATTCTTCAAAATTGCAACTCAAGGCTTGAATTTTTCTTCAGTTATTTCAGCTTGAGAAATGCTGAGCATGTTCTTCCCTTTTGGTTTTCTAACTCCAGGTCTTTGCACATTTCATTATAATAGTTTATTTGTCTTCTCCAGCTGCCCTTTGAAATCTTCAGTTCAGCTCTTTTATGTGATCATTTCTTCCTTTTGCTTTAGGTACTCTAAGTTCAAGAGCAAATTTCAGAGTCTCTTCTGATATCCATTTTGGTCTTTCTTTCTTTCCTGTCTTTTAAATGACTTTTGCTTTCTTTATGCATGATGCCCTTGATGTCATCCCACAACTCATCTGATCTTCGGTCATTAGTGTTCAATATGTCAAATCTATTCTTGAGATGGTCTCTAAATTTAGGTGCAATATAGTCATGTTGCACTTTGGCACTTGTGGACTTGTTTTAATTTTCTAGCTTCAACTTGAACTTACATATGAGCAACTGATATTCTGTTCCACAGTGGGCCGCTGGCCTTGTTCTGACTGATGATATTGAGCTTCTACTGTCTCTTTCCACAGAAGTAGTTGGTTTGATTCCTGTGTATTCCATCCGGCAAGGTCCATGTGTAGTCACCATTTACGTTGTCGAGAAAAGGTACCTGCAATGAAGATGTCGTTGATCTTGCAAAATTCTATCATGAGATCTCCAGCATTGTTTCTATCACCAAGGCCATATTTTCCAACTACTGATCCTCCTTCTTTGTTTCTAAGTTTTGCATTCCAATATCACCAGTTATTATCACTGCACCTTGACTGCATATTTGATCAATTTCAGACTGCAGAAGTTGATAAAAATCTTCGATTTCTTCATCTTTGGCATTAATGGTTGGTGCGTAAATTTGAATAATAGTTGTATTATCTGGTCTTGCTTGTAGGAGTATGGATATTATCCTAACACTGATGGCACTGTACTTCAGGACTGATCTTGAAATGTTCTTTTTGTTGAACGCAACGCCACTCCTCTTCAATTTGTCATTCCTGGCATAATAGACCATATGATTGTCTGATTCAAAACAGCCAATATGAGTCCATTTCAGCTCACTAATTCCTAGGATGGAGCCCTGGTGGCACAGTGGTGAAGCGTTTGGCTGCTAACCAAAAGGTCGGCACTTTAAATCTACCAGCCACTCCTTGGAAACCCTATGGGGCAGTTCTACACTGTCCTATAGGGTCGCTATGAGTTGGAATCAACTCTATGGTAGTGGGTTAATGCCTAGGATATTGATCTTTATGCGTTCCATTTCATTTTTTGATGACTTCCAATTTTCCTACATTCATACTTTGTACGTTCAATGTTCTGATTATTAATGGATGTTTGCAGCTGTTTCTTCTCATTTTGAGTCATGCCACATTAGCAAATGAAGGTCGTGAAAGCTTGACTCCATCCACGTCATTAAGGTCAACTCTACTTTGAGGAGGCACCTCTTCCTTAGTCATATTATGAGTGCCTTCCAACCTCAGAGGCTCATCTTCCCGCACTACACCAATGTTCCACTGCTATTCATATGGCTTTTACTGGCCACTTTTTTTAGAAGTAGATCTCCAAGTCCTTTTTCCTAGTCTGTCTTTGTCTAGAAGTTCGGCTGAAACCTGTCCACCTTGGATGACGCTGCTGGTATTTGAAATACTGGTGGCGTAGCTTCCAGCATTACAGCAACACAAAAGCCACTACAGTATGACAAACTGACAGACGAGTTGTGGGTTGCTGGTTTGGTGGAATAGAAATGGTCAAGAGCTTAATAAAGAGGTCAAGTCTGCAGATACTTATTTGGAAGTTACACGCATAGAAATAATGACTAAAAGCTATGAGAACGGAGTTTTAAATCTAAATCTCAATTTCAGAAAGGCATATGAGTCTATGAGTTAAGGAATGAAAATATGACAAAATAGCTTTAATTTATAATTCAAACATTTTACATATGTAAAATAATTTAACTAGTCTAAAATTCAGAGTACTGTTAAACAAATTTATATTACTGGTTTAGATTACTGAGACAAAAAAAGGTATAATGTCCTCTGCTGGCTCCTTATCAAATTCAAGACATTAAATGACAACAAGTTGATTTTTTTTTTTTAATAATATTTTGTTTTAGATGAAAGTTTACACAGTAAATTAGGTTCCATTGTTCCGTGCCATTGGTTACAATTTTTACAATGTGTCAGCATTCTTATTATTTCCATTGTTTGTTTTGTTTCCATTGATCTAGCTTCCTTTCCCCTCATTGCCTTTTCATTTTTGCTTTTGGAAAAATGTTAACTGTTTGGTCTCATATAGTTAATTGTTCAAGGGAGCACATTACTCATGGCTGATACTGTTTATTTTATAAGCCAATCTATTATTTGGCTCAAAGATGACCTGTAGAAATAGTTCCCATTCCAAGTTAAAAAGGTATCTTAGGGCGATATTTGTAGGGGTTCCTGTAGTCTCTATTGGTCCAGTAGGTCTGGCCTTTTTTAGGAATTTGAGTTTTGTTCTGTATTTTTTTCTCAATCTATATTCTCTTGTGTCCCTGGTCAGAGCAGTTGGTAATTGTACCGCAGCACCAGATAGTTCTTTTGGTCTCACGGTAGAAGAGGCTGTGGTTTATGTAGGCTACTAGTCCTGTGGATTAGCTTCTTCTTTGAGCTTTTGACTTCCTTCATTCTCTTTTGCTCCATACAAGTGGAGACCAATAGCTGTATCTTAGATGGCTGCTTGCAAGCTTTTAAGACCCTAGACGCTACTTAACCAAACTAGGATATAGAACATTATCTTTGATAACTATGTTATGCCAATTGACTGAGTTGTCCCCTGAGACTATGGTCCCAAGCCTTTTGACCCAGTAAACCAATCCTGCAAGTAGTTTGGATATGTCTAGGAAGGCTCCATAACTGTGCCCCCTATGTGGTTTGCCATATATGTGGATACGTGTGCAGCACACACTAATGTGTATATACATATGCCTACAGGTATACCTATACATGCATGGGCATTCACTCGCATATGTCCTCCTATATACCTATATGCATCCATATCTACCTACGTAACCACACACATATTTTTTAGTTGTTTTTACTACTGTTGCAAAATTGTATATGTTATAGTAAAAATGCAGCCTCCTTACCAGTAATTGTTACACCATCATCTTTGTGGGCTTCAGCAATTTCCTGAACATGGACCTCTGAGTTCACATCAACCTCTTTCCCTGATAACTGTAAATGAGTCTGAAGAGAAGATGGCACCTTGACAATAATAGAGCCTGTAAAAATTTAAAGGAGAGTTCATTCACAAAAAGAAATCAGAAGTTCCAGAGCCTATTATAAATTAGATTGAAAGGGCAGCATCACTTCTAGTATACCATCTTTACTCTTCAGAATATTTATTTAAACAGTAGTATCTTTTCCCTACTCACAGGTGATCAAAGTTTCCTTACTCCCAAGGACATTATGAATTACTATTTCTTCTTTTGCCAATAATCCTAGACAGCTCATCTAATACCAGAAAAGTCAGTAGTTTATTACACCTGTAGCTGTAGACAGGATTTGCCATTTATTAAGCATTTACACCTTAATTACATCATGTCTTTTAACCCCTGTATCGATTTTATGAGCCATTATTATTATTCCCATTTGTCAGATGGAAACTTGCTCAAGTTCCCGCTAGAGCCAGCATTGGAATCTAGACCCAGTTCACTGACTATAAAGTTCATGCTCTTAATTACTACGGTATTTCACACATTGCTACTTCATCATACCACAGCACTGTGATCTCATTGATTATACCACAACTAGAACACTGAGTTCTTGTACTTTCAATTGTGACTTGTGTGCAGGGAGAAAAAATTACAACAAAAAAGGATTATTTGAATTCCAATTGACTAGTATTTCTTTTGAGTGATTTCAGGCTTTTGAGTACCTGGGGCAAGAGGCTCAACTTTATTTCCAGTACAATCTTATCATAATTCAAGATTCTAAAACAGAAAATCCGAAAAAGTACTCTGTTAGCTAGGGAAGCATTTTTCCAAACAATTTCTTGTTTTGCAGTGCAAACTCACCAGCACACTCCTGTTTCAGAAGTTTTTGTCTCTGTTTCTCATATATCAAATGAAATGGGTAGGAAGCCCCTGTCCCATCTCTGTGGACAAAGATGATCAGGATGACATCCATAGAGAATGTTGTAAAGATTCCTTTTAGAATGCATTCAATTACTGGTCATGATTTTTCTTCTAATCTGATTAACATCAGGCTAAATTATCCTAAGTAATTTCACATATTCTCAGCAGTAAACTGCACATAGACTTGATTTGCACCACTAAAGTGGATTCTGACTGACAAATATTTGTACATAGAAACATATTCAGAATATATTTTCCTGAAGCCTTTTGTAATGAACTCTTGTCTTGATGGGTGTTTAGCCTTGCTAACAAGGACTGGAAGTTTGGGGTAAGACTGATGAACTCTCATACTAACTCCTCAAAAAAGAAAGGAACAAAGCACATTACCACAATTGTAAAAAAACAAAAAAACAAAAAAAAACAAAAAGACAAATTGCTTTTCAGGGTTCAAATAAAGTGATTTTAAATCTGTAAGAAGTTTAAACACGTTAAGCAATCCCAAGAGTTCTCTATCCCTATCTCCCTCCACATACTTAAAGAACAAAACTCGCCCGTACAAAAACTCCCCCACTGTTTGGGAAGGAAGAATTCCCATGGCTTGAAAACTTTCCCAAATGTCCCATCTTTAACACTTAACACTATCTTTTTTAGAAAAGAGGGCTCTTCAACCTATTTTCACTTCATAAACTTACTGTCTAAAGATGCAAAAGTGAACTAATACTAGGAGCATCGTTTACTGATGGCATACTATAAGTGATTTTCCTAAGGACAAAAAGTTAAGTGGAAAAGCCAGTACTCTGATGCTGGTGTGAGTCCCAAGCCCAAACAGCCTTTCTGAATTAATTAAAGTCACCATGTTAACTTTCATAAAGAAAGAGAAAACAAGCATTTTAACATTATTTTTCACATGGCAAAATGGAGAAGACCTAAGAGACTCAAATGACTGGCTCTCAAGACAGTGGCAGAATTGGAATGGATTCCAGATGGCTTTACTAATTATTAAGCAACAGAGTCCTGAATAACTTTCTACTTCTCTAAAAAGTTACTGTTCCCAAGTGCAGTGAGAATTAAAAGACCTGAAGTACAACAGAAATCTTTGTTTCTAGTTATCTTTAAACTTCTGCCAATAACATGGTCCCAGTAGGAGAAAACACAAAACTGGAATTCTAATCAAATTCGTATCACCATATGTTATTTCAATAGGTTACTGGAACAACATTCCATGTAATACTCAAAAAATTTTAAGCGGATGAGGATTAACGATGGGGATTTGTTTTGTTTTACTTTTTGGACCGTTCACATAAAAAAGGAAATTACTTTCATGTAAGAGTTGCTTAGTCAAAACTTTTTTTTACTCTATTACTAGTTAGGTTAAACGTATTAACGGTCTAAGTTTTTCTCTTTGGGTCTTCTTAATAAGTAAGTGCAATTATATAGATTTATAAAATACTCTGAGTAACACTGAAGCACTTACAAGTTTAGTGAGGACGTGATATTACCCTATTTTAAAGAAAAAAAAGTGGTCTTGAGAAATCAAGCACACCTGTGTGTCAGCAATAGCTTCAGTTGCACAGACCTCTGTGTTTTGTAGTTTTATTTTGACATTCTGACAAGGTACACTAGTTGAATGTAAAAGTATTAAGCAGACATGGCAAAGAAATTACTAATAGTAGGAACAACCAGTCTCTGTAAGGAAGTATTTTCCTGGTTATGCATATAGCCCTGTTCTGGCAAATATGCAAGAACTTCTAGACTTTATTTTTAATTTTTAATACAGAGCTATGATCCTTAATTTTCTGTGTCCAGGCCACTTCAGCCACTATGGTCAAGCTACCCCACCCAAGCCATTTGCTAACATGTGCGCACAAACACACACACTCACATTCAACCTTCAAATGACTAAAAAGTACATGACTTTTAATGAAAGATTTGTACTCTCAGAGTAAGTTATTTTGTATTAGAAATTAAATTACAGAGATAGACACATCATAAGTATTGATACTTCAAGAGATTAGCTCAACAATCATTTTAGAGGAGCTATCTGGCAATACCTTTATTTAGGATCACACTTTGAAAACTGTTACTCTAGAGTAATGGCCGGAGAAGGTCTTCTTGGAAAGGAAAGGAAAGTTCCCAAAGGAACATATGGTAGCATCTTCCTTCCAAAGAATATTCTACTTCAGATATGAAACTAAAGTGAAAAACTCAAAGAGTAACATTAAAAAATTCCACAGTAACAGTCAAAATATTGCAATACTTTTGTTTATACTACAAAGTGAAGTCTTCATAGCCATCTGTCCCAAAAGTTTGAAGATCACTGATCTATAGAGCAAGTAGACCGGTCTTTAAATCAGATTCTATCAGAAGAAATTTTCTTGAAATAACTATGTCAGTCTAGATAAGATAATATGGCCATCTGTTTCCTGCATGTTAATAAAACCTTCCTTACACCATATGTCAAAATAAAACATTCCAGTTGGCTAACCTTTATGAGATTTTAAGTCCACTTCTCCCAGTTGGCTGACATGAACATCTATGGAACCCTGATGAGTTGAGGCTTTTAGACATCCCGAGAATGAATCTGGGAGGGAAGAAAAACTGTAAGTATGATCATTCTTATTTGAGTAAACAGAATTATAAATTTCAAATAAAAGGCTCTACTTCAGCATTCAGATAAGGAGTTAGATTCTTCCAAGGTTTGTATTCTCCTCAAAACAATTTTGCATTAAAATGTACGCATATCAGAAATCTACACATAGACAACTAATTAAAAAATCCCTATGGCTACATTAACCTGCATAACTTATCTCTAAATATGCTTACCCTAAAACCTAATAGATTGGAAGGACACTGTGCAAGCTATGGATCCTTGAAGCCAAGACCATTAAGCATCATTGACATATTTAGTTTTACTATCATATTGATAGACTTAGGAAACTGTCAATATTTACCAAAGAGACTACCAAGAACATTCTTTAACCAGATGGAAAAACTAATCATTAACTTTACATGGAAAGGGAAGAGGCTCCAGTTAAGTGAAGCATTACTGAAGAAAAAGAACAAAGTAGGAGGCCTCGCACTACCTGACCTCACAACCTACTATACAGCTATGGTAGTCAAAACATCCTGGTACTGGTACAACAACAGACACATTGATCAATGGAACAGAATCGAGAACCCAGATGTAAGTCCATCTACCTATGGCTACCTGATCTTTGACAAAGGCCCAAGTCCATTAAATGGGGGAAAAGACAGTCTTTTTAACAAATGGTGCAGACAAAACTGGATGTCCATCTGTTAAAAAAATGAAACAGGACCCATACCTCACACCATACACAAAAACTAATTCAAAATGGATCAAAGACCTAAATATAAAATCAAAAACTATAAAGATCATGGAAATAGGGGCAATACTAAGGGCCCTAAAATACAGCATAAACAGCATACCAACCATAATTAACAATACACAAACACCAGAAGATAAACTAGATAAATGGGATCTCCTAAACAGTTATGCTGATCAACAGACTTCACCAAAAGAGTAAAAAGAGAACCTACAGACTGGGGAAAAAAAATTGGCTATGACAAATGTGACAAAATTTTAATCTCTAAAATTTATAGGAAAATCCAACAAACCTCTATAATAAAAAGACAAATAATCCGATTAAAAAATGGGCAAAGAATATGAACAGACACTTCACCAAAGAAGACATTCAGGTGGCTAACAGACACGTGGATATGCTTGCGATCACCAGCCATTAGAGAAATGTAAATCAAAACTACGAGATACCACCTCACCCCAACATTACTGGCACGAATCAAAAAACAGAAAATAACAAATGTTATAGAGGTTGCAGGGAGATTGGAACTCTTATGTACTGCTGGTGGGAATGCAAATTGGTGCAACCATTTTGGAAAACAATATGGCCCTTCCTTAAAAAGCTAGAAATAGCAATACCATATGATCCAGCAATTCCACTCCTAGGAATATATCCTAGAGAAATAAGATATGTCACACGAATAGACCTATGCATACCATGTTCACTGCAGCATTATTCACAATAGCAAAACAACGGAAACAACCTAAATGCCCATCAATAGATGAATGGATAAACAAACTATGGTACATACACACAATGGAATACTACTCAATGATAAAGAACAATGATGAATCTGTGAAACATCTCATAACATGGATGAATCTGGAGGGTATTATGCCGAGTGAAATAAGTCAATCACAAAAAGACAAATACTGTATGAGACCACTATTATAAAAACATACGAAAATGTTCCCACACAGAAAGAAACAATCTTTGATGGTTACGAGGGAAGGGAGGGGTGGGGAGAGAAAAACACTAACTAGATGGTAGATAAATGGCAACTTTGGTGGGAGCCCTGGTGGTGCAATGGTTAAGAGCTCAGGCTGCTAACCAAAAGGTCTGCAGTTCGAATCCATCAGCAGCTCCTTGAAAACCCTACGGGACAGTAACTGGTTTTGTTTTGGTTTTGGTTTTGGTTGGTGAAGGGTAAGACAGTACACAATACTGGGGAAGTTAGCACAACCTCACCAGGGCAAAGTCACAGAAGCTTCACAGACACATCCAAATGCCCGAAGAGATGAAGCTACTAGGCTGAGGGCTGGGGACCATGGTCTTGGGGGACATCTAGCTCAACTGGCATAACACAGTCTATAAAAAAAATGTTCTACATCTGACTGTGGTGGGTAGCAACAGAGGTCTCAAAAGCCTGTGAGCGGCCATCTAAGATACATCTACTGGTCCTATCTTGGCTGAAGCAAAGCAGAATGAAGAGGACCAAAGGCGCAAGGGAAAGATTAGTTCAAAGGATTAATGGACCACAACTACCACAACTTCCACCAGACTGAGCCCAGAACAACTAGATGGTGCCCAGTTACTACCACCGATTGCTCTGGCAGGGATCACAATAGAGGGTCCTGGACAGAGCTGGAGAAAAATGTACAACAAAATGCAAATTCACACACACACAAACAAGACCAGGCTGCTGGTCTGACAGACACTGAAGAAACTCTAAAAGTATGGCCCCCGGACACCCTTTTAACTCAGTACTGAAGTCACTCTTGAGGTTCATCCTTCAGCCAAAGATTAGATAGGTCTACAAGGCCAACAAAAAGGACATGCTTCATAGTTCAATCACATATACGAGACTAATGGGTACACCAGCCCGAAAGCAAAGACAAGAAGGCAGGAAGGGACAGGAAAACTGGACAAAAGGAAACAAGCAACCTGGGGAGAGGGAGAAGGTAAGAGTGTTGACATATCGCGGGGTTGGCAACCAATGTCACAAAACAATTTGTGTATTAATTGTTTAATGAGAAGCTGATTTGCTCTGTAAACTTTCACCTAAATCACACACACATACACACACACAAAAAAACCCAAAGAATTCTACAGTCACATACTGATAAGCAGTAGAAAAGTTAACTAAAATAAAAATCTCTTATTTCTCTTTTTAGCATATTTGACAGTACTAAAAAGTGCTGTTAAGAGTGAAAGATTACTCTAGACAAGATTTTATTGCACTTTCTAGAAGAGAAAAAAAACCCGTTGCTGTCGAGTCAATTCCGACTCATAGCAACCCTATAGGACAGAGTAGAACTGCCCCATAGAGTTTCTAAGGAGCGCCTGGTGGATTTGAACCGCCTACCTTTTGGTTAGCTGCCATAGCTGTTAACCACTACACCACCATGGTTTCCTTTAGAAGAATAGAGATGGAAAAAAAAAAGAGGAATCATTTGAAGAATTAGTGCAACTTGTTTATATCTTAATATTTCTTTTCCTTTCAAGTTTCTTGGACTGAATGAATAACTTTATAAGTCAGGGGTGAAAAATTAGTAACTCTGGTAGCTTTGATTTAAAATTTAAATTTCCCTACATCGTCAGTGAGTCCAGTTTTCAATCACCCAACATTTCAAGTTCAAGGAAAAGCTGCCACAGTCAGAGGTAAAGAGGTAAGACAATGATATTGAAGAGTCAGTGTTAAGCAGCTTCTTCTTCTTCAGGGCCAACTGAACCTTTGATTTAATATTCTACCTAACTGCCCTGAAAAGGCTAAAGTATATTCTTTTTAGACAGGGCTCTAAAAAATGCATATTTTATCAGCAGTTTTTATTACTTCAAAGTGGAAACAAGTAGGGAGTGTGGTAAAAATCATGCCAAAAAGTATATCATACTTTTTACAAAATACAAAGAGAAAATATTTGCATATCTACAAAGGAACCAAACTTTTTCTTTAAAATAAATTTTAAATGACTATAAAGACAACAACTTTTGAATAAACTGTTCAAAATCTGAATCAAAGATAATTTATAATAATCTATATTCAATCTATACTGAAAAATGTTCTTTATTAGACCCGATTTATTTAGTTTTCAAGTGTCAAAAATAAGCACAAATTTTGGAAAATTAAGCCATTGGAGATAAATGAGATAGAAGAGCTGAATAAAGGCCAAAATATCACTCCATAGATACCACCAGAAACTGTGTTTTAAATCCTCTTACTAAATCCCAAAAGAAGCCAAGAAAAAAAATGATACGGTAAAAAACGTAAACCACATGCTATGTGTATTATCCCAGCTTGAACAAAGTAAAATGCTTGAAACGTTGATTTCTTGCTTTCCTTATGGAAATTAAAAAAAAAAAAAACCCAAAACTTTTATCTGGTTCATAAACAATACTTTTTCATTTCTTTTTTTTCTCAAATGGTAAATAAACAACAGCTAAAAAAACCCAGTAAGTAATTATAAACTCATATTAGCAGTCTTGAGGTATGATAACGGCCCATTCTTTGAAGGCTATCAGAAAATAAAATCAAGATGAGTTTTCAAAACAGAAAGCAAGGTGAATTTAGAAGCTATGCAGCAGTAACAAACCTGTATTTTCTTTTGTTTTCTGTAATACAAATGATTAGCGCTAACCATTATCAACAGAGTGAAATTAAGGTGTCATCCAAAGAATTTCATTTTTTTTTTTTTTGGGAGAATCACATAATGGAGACAGTTTATAGATACTGGAGAAAGTCTCAGGGAAATATGCATCAGAGGGTGATTAAGAAGTGAACAGAATTGTTAGTCCAGACAGAAGCTGGAATAAATACTCTCACAGAGTTTTCTATCATCATAATTCTGGGCAAAGATCTCATCAGTCTGACAGAGACCACTGAGTTTTCTTGGAAAATTACACATACAAAAGGGAAAAATTAATGTTAACCACAAGCTAACACTACATACCACCAAAAAAATAGGTATTTGGAATACACACTTTGATAATAGCAGGGAATAACAATGAAACTTGAAAGGCTAAAATTCCAAACTTCGCTATTTTCCTTCAGATAAAGGGAGAACTCTCTCAAAACTGGTCAAACATTTTCAAAAAATTCTCCTAAATTTTTATAATTCTACCTTAAGTATCAATATGTAGATATTACATGAACACAAAAAATTAGCTAATTCTTGATTTCTACAACCCGATTCATATACTTCCGAAGTTACACTAATTGCCAAGAAGAAACAAATGTAACAGAACATAAGGATTTGAGAAGGCAGAACTTTAAAGTCACTTCAAGTAAAGTTTTCTAAATTAATGCCCTAGCTGGGCATTACATACTGAGAGACCAAATAGAGAGTGGGCTTATGAGAGACACACAAAGAAAAATAACATGAAGATCTTCTTTTTTCTTTGATATAATTACTAGTACAACCCTCTGACAGTGCCTTCCAAAAGAGGCAACAGGGGCAGAAAAGGTAAAGCTAGGTAGCAACTCTATTAGTACTCCTACCACACCACTGGAGCCCTGGTGGTGCAGTGGTTAAGAGACTGGCTGCTAACCAAAAGGTTGGCAGTTTGAATTCACCAGCCGCTCCTTAGAAATCCTATGGGGCAGTTTGAGTCAGAGTTGACTAGACAGCAATGAGTTTGGTTTGGTGTTTTTTTTTTTTAACCATACCACTATCTACTATCAAGCTCTGCTTTCTCCTGCTGACTCATTTTTAGTGAAAGATGGCCCAGTGTTCCAGAACAACAACAACAAAAAAACCAAACCCAGTGCCATGGAGTCGATTCTGACTCACGGCGACCCTATAGGACAGAGCAGAACTGCCCCATAGGGTTTCCAAGCAGTGGCTGGTAGGTTCAAACTGCCGACCTTTTGGTTAGCAGCCAAACTCTTAACCATTGCACCACCAGCCCCTGTTTAAAAAATGTGAGTCCAAGGAAAACCAGGGTTTTGAAATACAGGATTTTATAGACCAGCTTTTGAGAGAGAGCTCTGTATTACAGAAATTAGAAGAACTGGGTTTTGGAAGGTAGGTTATGATGTATATACACAATCCAAATCACTGATGAGATTACTTAAGAAGTTGGTCAATTATATTATCTAAATTAAGAATAAAGGACCATAATCACACCTACATATTCTTCTTTATAAAGGAATCGCGGACAGGACACAATCTATTCTCCTGCATTCAGATAAGGCAATACCTAAATCATTTATAGTCTCTTAAAATTCTAATCTGATAATATTATATAACCTTTTCTTGGGACCCATTCCAATATTTTGAAGCCATGGCTATTCTAACTAATCCTCCCCTCAGATTCCTACAAATAGTTTTGTTTCTTTGTAACTGTTTTGCTTCTGCTAATATCAATTCCTCAAAATCCAAGTTACTCAGTGAATTGTCATTGATTTGTAGAGCTGCCTTCAACTTTCTCCAGCAAATCTTCCGTTTTAACGAAAACACAAACCAATCACAAGAAATTCCAAATAAACACTACCACTTGCTACCCCTGGGATTAAGGCACTGAACCCAGAATTTCTCCAGCATCATAACAGAAATGGCATTCAGACTCTATAGCAAGCATCAGCCAACTACAGCCTGCCTCCTATTTTTCTTAATTAAGTTTTACTGGGACACAGACACCTATTCATTTACATATTGTTTATAGATTTTTTGCATGTGTCACAATGGCAGTTACACAATCCGGACAGAGACTGTGCAGTCCACAAAGCCAACATAATCACTATTTGACCCTTTATAGAAAAAGTTTGCTAAACCTGCTAATAGTACAACGTTTTGTTTTAAGATCAGTGAAACAGGAGACGAGAAATAGATCCATAGTTATACAGTCATTTGATTTTAGACAAAAGTGCCAAAGTAATCCACTGGAGAAAGGAAAGTTTTTTCAACAAATGGTGCTGCAACAACTGGACATTCACATGGGAAAAAAAGTGAACCACTGACTCCTAACGTACACTATACACAAAAGTTAGACAGACATGGGTCAAAGGTAAAAGCAAAAAATTTAAAGCTGCTAAAAGAAAACACAGGAGAATATCTTCATGACTAAAGGCAAAGATTTTTTTTTTTTTTTTT